TGATATTTCAGTATCGTGTCAACACTAGCACTAATAGGCCATCACTCACTTTTGTTTCCACATTTATGTTTAAAATAGAAACGTCAATTTGAATAGCTTGCATGCTTGATTATCATGCAATTGACAGACAGTGTTGATATTGGCATTGGTATCACTTGACAAGATATGTTTATAAATGGCAGTGGCAAGGCCACCCTACTCACTGTACCTTGCACATGTTTAAAATAAAAACATGAATATATGAACCTGTGTATTATCTGAATAGCTTAGTATTGAATGCACAATAACAAGGTACATTTATACAAAGTACTAGGCCCAGTTTAATATAAAACACAATTTAATATACAATATATATAGTAGGGGGTCCCTGCTCCATCTCTCCATCAGTTTGGGGGTCCTTGGCCTGAAAAACATTGAAGACCTGTGATTTGGGGGTTGTGCTCAACACATGCAGCCTGCCCACAGAGCCTACTCTATTACAAAATAGATGGACGGCCCTGTAGCAAGTAGTTTGCAAACTGCAGCTTGGTGCAACAGTAATGGTGTTGATCATCATGCATGCACTTGGGTCATCTGGTGGTACCGTTGGGGCTACTACACATACTGCACTTGCAGAGGTGGTTCGACAGCCTTCGCTTGGATGCCAAGAAGCACAAGTGACGCTTGGTTACCATTCATCCCTCAGCACAGGACGACCTGAGATACTTGCGGTCCCTACTGCACCTGGGAGCAGATGTGTTTGCAAATGGGCCATGGCCAAGAAAACTGCTTTACACTTTCAAGACCATAGGTGCACCCCAGTTGTTTGCTGCTTTGTAGTGACTTTGTAGTGGGCTTCTCGCAGACCAAATCCCTCCTTTGTTACCAAAAACATAAGGAGTTCATTCAGGTCAAGAGTAATACAGTTTGATGCTTTTTGTCCTCTACTCCATGAGGGGGACAGGGAGGCAAAAGTGTATCTTCTCCACCCACTTTGTGCATTGGCATGTTATGTTGGATGCACGGCCCCTATCAGACACACAGAACAGCTGTTTGTGTGCTTTGGTGATGGTGTGGCCAGTAAGGCAGTATCCAAGAAACACCTTGCGAGATGGGTTTGTGAGTGCATCTCCCAAGTCTACAGGCAGGTGGGCAGGGACCCTCCTAAAGTGTTCTGTGCACACTCCACATGTGGTGTCTCAGTTTCGTTGGCCTTGGTTAGTGACTGAGTGTCGAAGACAAATGTATGAAAGCTTCATGGTCTACATGTCAGGCTCCTTTTCATGGTCTGTATTCACTGGAACATTACAGGACTGGTAAAAAAGGGCTGGGTGTATGTCAGCTGTGTTGCACCTGACTCTCCTCTGGGCATAATCTACGTGTTTCCATGCTCCTTGATGACTCAATGTTAGCCCATGGTTCCACCCAGTTATGCTGCACAGGTGGAGCCCTCTATCTAGGGGCCCTGTTGCTACTACCCGGCTCGCTCAAGAGGGTGTAGGATGTCTGACACTATCATACGTGTCCCATATATACTGTGGGCTCTACACATATTCTTATAGGTAAGTGCTGATTGGCCGGCTATGCTTATGCAAATTTTTATGGGTGAATGCGTGCTTGTGATTGGAGGACAGTTTTATCCATAGAGTCCAGTAGAGGGCTCTGCCTGTGCTAATAGAACTGGGGTTACAATATCGTAACCTTGTCATAACAGTTGTCAAGGGACATAATCTTTGAGTTACCATGACAAACACTGATTTTAACCCAAGCCATGGTTGTTTCTTTTAAACCTAACAGAGTAGTTTTGTTGCCGAAACCTAAAGCAGGTTTGTTGGCAAACCTTACTTTTACTGTGAAGACGTATGTGTATTTTGAAAGACATTATAGCACGTAATGAGCAGAAATTGACACATCCAAAACTGATAGCAGAGGGGTACTTAGAACATTATAGTCTGAGTATAGGGCCACGTGTTATGTGTGTTTGTATATGTCACAGATGGGTGACAGATTAAAAGACAAATCTGAATAATCAAATGCAGATGCTTCCATAGAGGTGCACTGCATGGTACAATTACACCATTAGCATCCAGTCATGCTCTGTGGCATGTATAAAAATGCTGAACAGGCCCAGCTGATTCTGATTTTCTATCAAGATGTCAAGAGGAAAAGATCTAAGTGACTTTGAAAGAGGGTTCATTGCTGGGCCACAGATAGCTGGAGCTTCAGTCACAAAGACTGCTCAACATGCTTGTGTTTCAGTAGAAATAGTAACTAAAGTGACAGCTGTATTTAGATCTATGGGAAAGACATCAGCAAGGAGGGTGGGAAATTGTGGTCAACAGCACACATGTGATGACTGTAATGCACGTGCATTAGTGCATTCAATCAATCAATCAATCAATCAAACAATCAATCAATCAGTCAATCAACTTTATTTGCACAGACTCAAAGGTCCAGTAAAAAACATACAAGGAGCTTATTGATACTAACCCTCTTATACTTAACCCACAAGGGGGCAGTGTAGAGGGGTGTATAATAAGCCCTAAACAGGTTTACCTTAACATCATTTGAGCAAAAGTGGAATTTTCTCCCCAGCACGTTGGCTTGCACATACAATATTCGGTGCTGCCTATACAGATCATCATCATCAGTCATTTGGTCATTAATACAATGTCCCATATACTTACTCTTACTACAGACCGTGAGCTGTTGACCTGCCAGGAAGAACGAAGGAAAGGCCAGATCCTTATCCCCTCTTGTTCTACAGATCATAACAACACTCTTCTTAGCATTATATTTCATGTCAAATGCTACACCATACTCAGAGCATATATGCAGCAGTTGTTGAAAGCCAACACTGCTAGGAGAGAGTATAGCCAGGTCATCTGCATACATAAGATGATTTACTAAGGTGTCACCAATCATACAGCCAGTTTTACAGGAATTTAGCTGTACAGATAAGTCATTCATATATAAATTAAACAGGGCTGGTGAAAGTATCCCTCCCTGTCGGACACCATTTCCAACAGTAAACGGAGTAGAGATTCTATTTCCCCACCTGACCTACATTCTCTGGTTAGCATACCAGTATGCCAGGGTTTTTATAATGCAGTCAGGCACACCCCTTTCTCTAAGTTTTAAAAAAAACATCCAGTGACTGACTCAGTCATATGCCTTTGAAGCATCAATAAAACCTACTAAAACCGAAGAGTTCTGACTTCTATCTACCACTTCTTTCAAGGCATAAATACATAGATCAGTACCATGCTTGGCCTTAAACCCAATTTGATTGTCTGCCGTACCCAGATAAGATGATAATCTATTTAGTAGTATCCTTTCCCGCACCTTGGACACCACACTGGCAAGTGCAATAGGTCTATAGTTGTCCATACTCCCCACTTTACCAGCTCTGCCCTTTGTGACTGGCACCAAGGTGACAGAGAGCAGAGAGTGTGGCAGAAGACCATGCATCACGAACCCACTGAAACAGATGGCAAGAAAAACTGCAACCTTTGGGCTTGCAAGTTTCAGGTGCTCTGCAGTGAGTTGGTCTGAGCCACTAGCTTTATTATCAGCTAGCTGCGATATAGCTTGGAGAACCTCACTGGCTGTAACTCCTATAGCATCACTGCTAGTAATGTTGTCAACAATATAGGGGTCAGTCTTGATACAATTAAATAGATCAGAATAATGCTGTCTCCACAACTCAGTAATACTGTGGGCTCCAGAGACCCTCTCAATGTTACATGGTGACAGCAAATTATTTCTGTTCAGAGCTCTCACCTCCTTCCAGAACCCAGTTACATATGGGCTGCCGTTTGTAACGTGGCTCACACTGAAAATAACATCAACATTTTGCAACATTTAGCTTCAAACAATGTTTAAAAAAATGTTGTGAATTTTTTAACATTTACAGCAATATTTGTTAACTTAGAAATATATTAAATAGTTAAATCTAAATATTAAATGTGGCACCTGATAGTTACATGTTAAATCTAAATATTAAATCTAAATCTAAATAATAAATCTAAATGCTAAATCTAAATCTAAATGTTAAATGTTAAATCTAAATGTTCTGGGTAAAACTAAATATTTAGCTAATATGCAAATTCACACTGCCGGTCACCGGAAGTACCAAAATAAAAGTTCGTGATGGTCAGACTGTGTTTATACCCACTAAACACTGGACGTCGGATAGACGTGCAGATCATGTCTATATTGGGTCCGTCGGTCCATGACCAATTCTGGACATCTATTCAACGTCCAAACTAGGTCCACTATTTAAACGTCCAACCATGACCCAACTTGGACGTCATATTGACGTTCAACATTTGATCTTTGAACTGGGTAAATTTTTTGGACGTCATTTGGACGTCTATGACAGGTGCAGGAAATGTACATGATTAATAAATTTAATATTTTTTTAATTTACAAATATCAACATTGTTGATATCAACATGATTAAGACATATGAATACAGACTATAAACAAACACGATTTATTACGTGTATGCCTATTTATTTATTTATTTATTTATTCAGTAGGCTGTGTTTTTTGTTGTTGTTGTTATTTTACATTTTCCTGTTTTTCTTTAACTGGTTTATTTATTTTATCAAGTTATTTATTTATGCATATATGTATTTTTGCATTTATCTGTTTATTTATTTGGAAATGCAATATGTGGGAAATTAGAGTTCAGAAAATAATTTCATGGTAGCCTATATTATCCACCTTATTCCTAACTTAAAAATTTGTGACGCCATGGCAGCCATTGCGGTTTCCCGGTCGATGCTTGAGAGAGAGAAAGAGGCAACGATGGCCACTGTTCTCAAAAGAACCAACAGCAGCAGAAAAGTCAAGGACAGCCGAGGACAGCTCTCTATCAAGGGCTTTGGATTTCCAAAGATTCAAAAACCAGTAAACGCCACTCTGATTGGCTGAGGCAGCAAATCATCATCACCCAACCAGTAAACGCCACTGTGGTTGGCCGAGGCAACACGCCAGGCATTTGGCGTCAAGGGCTCTGTTTGGCGCGATTCGGCGTGTTCGAAGCATTGCAAGTCACGGCACAGCTTTTCAGCCTGCATCACAGATTCACTAGGCCTATGGAAATCCCCATGGTGAATCCACTCATCGTTTTCCTCTAAATTGAAGGTAAGTTCGGTCAGCAATTTCCATGTGTATGTATAGTGTTAGGTAGTTTAGCGTTATTGTCTTGAACTTCCCAAACCTGCTGTGGTCATGGCCGCTAATGGCGAAGGGCGTTAGCATGCCTTAATGGCACACATTTTTGTTTTGCGTTAGCTTGCTGCACAACACTCTTGGTTCATGTTCAGTTTCGATGTTATTTTAGCTGTCCACGGGAGAACATGTTGTGTAATGTAAATGTAAACTGTTTGTAACTTGCAAATTGCTTCAATATTGTATGACTACCTTAGGGTTGCTAACAGGGTAGGTCGAAAGCCAGCTAGCTAGCAGCATGGCATGGAGTTCAGACCGACTAGCTCGTTGCTAACTAGCTAGCGTCCGTATACGGGGTTCACAGATGATGCAAGGTTGGTTGATGTTATTCTCAGTCACTTTTATCGTTCATGAAAGGAACATTATAAGTTTTATTGTAAACCATTAGAGGCGTTTTGTCTCTGATACCACCCCACTGGTACAAGAAGCGAACACTATGTAGGTTGCACGTTGTTATAATCTGGCTGCTAACTACCTACCTACCATTCTTTGCTAAAACCTTACGTTAGCTAACTCGTTTTGGGTGTTCTAGGGGCTTTTTCCAACGCATTCACTCTGAATATTGTCAGAAATTATGAAAAAAAAATGTGTACAATGTTTCTGGACCAGAGGCAGCAATTCTGATGTACTCTGTTTATTCTGGTCAATTTTTATCCGTGCGACTGAAGAGTGGCCATAGGCATTGGGCAGTGACCATGATAATGGCAGTGCGATGGAAAAAAATGTTTGTGCGATGAATTTATTTGCCTAGTAGCAAGCGTGCGACAGACTGCTTGCGAGCCGTTTGTGTGTGTGGTCTGTTTTTCCTCGTTTTTTCACTAGACGACAAGAGCATTCACTGCCGTGCATGGTCTGGCAGCCAGGTGAGTTGGTTTATTAGTTTAATTAACGGAGGGACAGCTCTTGTCATCGAGTGTCTTTGTCTCTGTGGGGGAGGCGGGGCTATGGGCCACACACACACACACACACACACACACACACAGTGCAATCTTCGTGGGGGGGAGACGAGGCGGAGAAAAAGTAACAGTTGAGTGTAAGAGAAAGACAGGGAACTTGTTCCTAAACCAAATGCCACGGACCCTGTGTGGGAGTGTTTTGGATTTAAACCAAATGACAGAGGGCAGCCCAGTAATTTGGACGAGCCGGTGTGCCGGGTTTGTTCTAAATCCATCTCAACAAAAAGAGCGAATATGACCAACCTAACTGCACACCTGAGAGTGAGAGACTGACAGTCTATTTTTTGTATTTATAAGGTCTTTATTTATTTATTTAGATATTTTTACGTGTTATTTCAGATATTTAAATTGTCTTTTTTTTTTGCTTTCGTAAATATTCTTGTTAAATAATGTTTATTTCTCTTTTAAAAAGGGTGTACTTGCATCATTATGCCTTTATTATCATTATATAAGTTTTTTTTAAATGGTCTGAAAATAGCAAAATTACAACGATAATAAAAATGGTCTTAAAAGCACAATATTATGCAATACTATTGCTTATCGCAATAATGCAATTAATCGGCCAACACAATTTGTTATCGTGACAGGTGCTACAAACTTTCTGGCCTGTGCTACAAAATTATCACACTCTGTAGCTCCAGTGCTATGGGCTAAAAAAGTTAACATACAGCCCTGCAGGGTCATGGCCACACAAGGTTAACAGTGACATCACGTGGTGCAAACGAATATGTAGCATCTCCCACATGGTAGGGGATATGTTTTTGTTGAACATACTGGGTGCAATTTCTCTGGACGCTTCACTCGGTCGGCACACAAGTCCAGGCTGAACTTGTACAGGTCTATGTTTCTGCTGTCCAAAGTCTGTAAAGTAGGATTTCTTTATATAAAGTACTGCACATAATTTAAGGTATTTTTATTTGAGTGGTTACATTTTTTGATGCATACAAACCCCTCTACACCTCAGGTGCATGCTGTGCTTTTACTCCACTACAACAATTTATTTGACTGTGTGTTAGTGTGTATATTAATAAGGCTTTAGTTGCGTATCTAAACAAATTTTGTTTCTGTCAGGTCAGATGCTGTGACGTGTCTTTCATTGGGACATTGTTGTTCATTGTTGTGACCTTATTCTTATTTCCTTGGCAGCGTCTACAAACTCAAAGCGCGTAATGTGCTTGTAGGCTCTAGGCTATCTTCGTTTGTAACACAGCAACACTTAACTGTTGTGCAATGGAGAATGAAAACTTTAAGGTGTTTAACCCATTTTTTTCTGTCTCTCAGGTGCTGTAAGGTGTCTTCTCTCATCTTTTTTTTCCTTGGCAGCTATACAGCAGGTAATGGACTGCCAGTCTTGTTTTTGTAAATGAAAAGCTTATCTGCAAGCTCATAAGGTGTTGTGTGCCTATAGGTCGGCTGTTTTAGCCATGTCTTACAACTATAGTCCATAGTCCAATGTCGCTTGTTCAAGAGAACATATCTGCTCTTTTTGGCAAACAACACCGTTGTGTTGAGTATTGTAAAGCTTTAGTTGCGTGTCTCTAAACCAGTTTTGTCTTTGCAGATGGTGTGTAGGCTACTCTTCATATTGGATGTGGAGTGAGGTGTCCTTCCCTTTTAGGAGCTAAACTACCTAAACAAGGTACGTGTTGTGATCTCACTCTCTTTCCTTATGTACAGGCTCCAGTCAAATAAACAGTAAAACTAAACTAATTTGGATTAACGTCTGTGTTTACCGATGACTTTGAGAGTAAGACAGTGGCGAAAATGCCAAAGAGAACTGGATCAACTGCTACGTTATTCTGACAGTGATGATGAACAAGAGGGCATTGAAAATAATTGCAACAGTGTGCCTGGGACTCGGAGTAGTTGCAGCAGTGACGATGTGCCTGGGACCCCAGATAGTTTGAGTGACAGTGCTCCTGGGACATCCGATGATTTTGACTTAGAGACTGATGTGGACTACTGGTCTACTGACTCGGAACAGGAACCAAATGAAGCTGAAGTGACCAGCTTTGAGGACGAACTGAGACAGTGGGCCATAGAGTACAGATTGACACACAGAGCGCTTAATGGTTTATTGTCCATATTAAGAAAGCAAGGGCACTTATTGCCTGTGGATTGCCGGACACTCCTTGCTACACCACAGCATAACACAATGGAGCCTAAATGTGGCGGGCAATACAAGTACTACGGCTTAGAAAAGGGGATCTGTTGTTATTTAAGTCAGATGGAGAGTAATGATGTGCACCTCAGTGTAAACGTTGATGGCATCCCACTTTTCAGAAGTAGTGGTGTCCAATTCTGGCCAATACTGGTGAAGTGTGGCCATTTTGATCCATTCATTGTAGCCATGTTTAGTGGACAAAGTAAGCCAAGTCCTCTTGAGAAGTATTTAAAAGACTTTGTGACTGAATACAAACATCTCAAGGACAATGGTATAGTTTTTAATGGCCAGACTTACACTGTCAATATTGATGCTCTGATCTGTGATGCGCCAGCAAGGGCATATCTGAAGTGTATTAAGGGTCATACTGCCTATGAGAGTTGTGAAAGATGTTCAGTCAGAGGTGATCGTGTTGAGGGAAGAATAGTTTTCAGTGAACAGGAATGCACTTCTCGAACAGATGACAGTTTCTCCAGAGTGGAGTACAGTAACCACCAAACTGGTATCAGCCCCTTCATTGCTGCAGGAATTCCTTGTGTTAGAGCTCATTTGTCTTAGATTATATGCATATCATCTGCTTGGGAGTAGTTAGGCGCCTGTTAATTTACTTGACTCGTGGCCCAAAAGTCTGTCGTTTATCTGTGAGGCAAAAGGATGCAATTTCTCAAAAACTAATTGCACTGAGAGGGAAGATGCCAAGTGAATTTGCTCAACAACCGCAGGGTTTGCATGAAATTGATAGGTAGAAAGCCACTGAACTACGGCAGTTTTTGCTGTACACAGGTCCTGTGGTTTTGAAAACTGTGTTGTCCCCCGAAAAATACAAACATTTCTTGTCCTTGACAGTATCCATATCGATAATACTGGAGTCAGATGAGCGGATTCGAAATGCCTATCTCCAATATGCTCATGAACTAATCAAACATTTTGTCATGTGCTGTGCTGACCTGTATGGCAAGACCTTTCCTGTATACAATGTACATGGACTAATTCATCTGCAAGAAGATGCCAGCCACTTCAACTGTTCCTTAAATGACATTTCATGTTTTCCATTTGAAAACTACCTGCAACAAGTCAAGAAACACGTGAGGAGCGGGAGAAGTCCCTTGGAACAAGTGACCAGGCGTTCGTCTGAAATCGAGCATTCAGAAGTGGCCAAAAGACAAAGACAGCCTAAAGTGTTTGCCTCTGTTAAAGAAAAGGACAGTTGTTTTCTTTTGAGGGACAACAGCTTTGCCTTTGTTCGACAGAAAAATGCAGACGGGACTTTTGCTTGTGAAATTCTGCGCCAGCGTCACACTTCACCATTATTTCACCAACCGTGTAGCTCTGGACTTCTGAACATAGTGTGCATTGGAAATGGTCATGTCAGGATGACAAATGCACTACTGCAAGAAAGGGATCTGTTCCGGAAGGTGGCCTGCCTCCCACAAGAAACTGGTGGTTTTGTCCTCATACCCCTTCGCCATGGTCTGGAACACACATATTAAGGTTGAATTTTCTTATTCTTTTAGCTAGATTCCATCAGGGATCATCATAGCTGATCACCTGTTTCCATCTGTTTATTTTCTGTATCTTCCTCAGTGACTCCTGCATTATCCTTTCTCACTCCATCCATAAACCTCCCCGGGCCTCTCTCTGTCCTCTTGCCACAATATCCTACTCCCAATATAACCCTCATCACTCTTCCGTGCATGTCCAAACCCTCTCAACCTCTTTGAACTTTGAACTAAAATGTTAAAAACTAAAACGTGCTGTATGTAAGAATGTGGCCAAATGTACTGGGGACACTGCTATTGCTGCTTGCCGTGCTGCTGTAGCTCAGTCGTAACTGTAACTGATGCTGAGACTCTACTGACTGCGTGACTGGTAGACGGCGGTGGGTGGTGCAACAGGCCAAAACACAAATTCAAAACATAAACATGATTTGCAGACTGCAAAAAAATTTTTTAGATGCAATATTCTGGCTGTACTATTGTTGTCAGTGAGATCAGTATGTTATATGAACATTATTCCTTAGTCTCTGTGACATGTTAGGAGGATTTTACGACTACTTGCTTTAAATTTCTTACATATAGCTCTTTTAAAGTAACATGCATATGCTTTCCTTTCCAGGTCATGTACACGAGGGCTGTTTGGAGGGAGGGTACCCGAGAGGAGGAGGGTGTAGTTCCTGACAATTGGATTGACAGAGAAATGAAAACCGTCAGATGGCCATGTACAATGAGCGCCACAAAAACAAAGAAAGCTCTAAAGGACAAAATTAACCCCCAGGATGACTGGATGACATTCTCATTAATAAAGATAAAAATTACCTCAGGCAAGTTTTGCGTAGATGAATAGAAAATTAAATAAATTTCCAAGTCAAAATATTGTTGGAATTTTTTGTTTGTTTGTTTTAAGGTGAATTGTCTAACTTCTAGATAAACGTCGTGAATGTGATACCTATAACCTGACCAGCCAGGCAGAGGAGGAGGACGATGAGGTGATTAGAACGACGAGAAAGCGCACTAAAAAAGGAATTCCGGAGGGTTTTGTTAGAAATGGTATGTTTCTCATTCTCAAATACTTTATACATTTGAAATATAAAATCGGTTGATACAAATTGGGCCTCAAATTTGAGACATCAATGTTTATTAACATTTTTTGCAGAATTAACAGATTCGGATGAGGAGATTGTCAGGGGTAATGGCTTTCTCTTAATGAATTTATAATTCCAGTTTTAAAATGAATCAAATTATTTAAGATATATTTTTGGAGATGGATGAGCTTAGTTTTACATTATTACCTCTGTACAGGCGTCAAGCTACCCACCTTCCCTATTGCACCAAGGAAGCTGCAGCCCATTGAGGACACCAACAGGTTGCACAATACTTGTGAGTAGTGATGACAACTTAAGCATGATAATGTGTTGACTACAACATGAGTCACAGGCAGATTGATGTGTTTCAGCCTCTGAAAATGAAGCCATGTCTGTCCAAGCGGTACATGCAGACAGTCCCTGGGGCAGTGAAATGTCCACTCCTAGTGAGTATTTACTTTGCCCCTTGCACCAACCATCCCACTGCACAAAGTTTAAGTCCATTTGGGACAAGGTGTTGGTTCACTGCTTGTGAATTGTGTAAGGTAATCTCTTTTTATATATATTATGTAAGTAGTTACAGGCTCATTCATGTGTTTTAGCCCATGAAGATGGAGCCATGTCTGGCCAAGTGGAGCTTGCAGACAGTCCCCAGGGCAGTGAAATGTCTACTCCTAGTGAGTATTTACTTTTCCCCTCGCACCAGCCATCGCACTGCACAAAGTTTAAGTCCCTTTAGGACAAGGTGTTGGTTCACTGCTTGTGAATTGAGTAAGGTAAAAATATCTTTTAAATGTACATGATATAAGTAGTTACAGGCTCATGCATGTGTTTTAGCCCATGAAGGTGGAGCCATGTCTGGCCAAGCGGGGCGTGTTGACAGTTCTCAGGGTAGGGAAATGCCCACTCCTTGTGAGTATTTAATTTTCCCCTTGAATCAACCATCCCACTGCACTAAGTCATAGTCCATTCAAGATGAGTAGTTTCTCACTGCTTGTGAATTAAGCATAGTAATGACTCAAGTATTTCATTATTATTTTAGTATATGCAACATGACCGTACTTAAAGGCTGACTCGTGTTTCAGACTCTGTAAGTCAAACCTTGGATGGCCTTGTGGAAACCTTCTCTGACCCGGAGAAATGTGCTGCCAGATCTCGGCGCAAGGAAATGTCCAGTGAGTATTCACTTTATCCGTTGCACCAACCAAAAGTCTATTCAGGACAAAGCGTTACTCACTGCTTGAGAATCAAGTTTGTTAATGATTTCTTTTACAGGCTTAATCAAATGTTTCAGACTTGGAGCAGCGTGTGCCAATTCTTACCTTTTTGTTTAATTTCAATAATTGTACGTCTTTGAATATTGTTTGTTTTCTTCGCTCTCAAGATGCAAGCACAGCACCTCGGAGCAGAGACCTGTCAACACCCAGTGAGTATTCATCACATCACACTTTAAACAGTCACTTTTGTATTCTGTCAGGCCTTGTGAAATGTAAGAATATTCTGTGCTTTTCAGGATCTCGACATGCAGCAAGAGGTCATGCGAGGGATGGCTATCGCTCCAGGTAAAGAAGCAGGACAGGGCACAGCGTCTTGGCTGGCTTCTACTGGTTGGTCTCTGGCCCATACCAGTAGGGGTTGGTCAGTTTCAGTGTTAAAACATGGCATGTTATTGTCAGTTATAAATGTATGGCCAAGTGAATAAATTTAAATGTTTCTAGGTCCAGCACTAGGTCCAGCGGTGGATCCAGCTTCAGGTCCTGGCACAGTGATGGTGCGAAGCACACAGTCTTCATATCACTGCTATATTACTTTGTATAACCGTATGTGACTAATAAATCAATCTTGTATCTTGTACAGTCAGAGCCAGACATGACGGGTCACGGCATAGGTCCAGACATGATGAAAGATCACGGCGATGTGATGACCGATCCCGTAGTGATGCCCGTTCCCGTAGTGATGCCCCCCGTCCCCTGGCCAGGTCCAGACATGATGACAGATCACGGCACAGTGATCTCAGCAGCCCCCCATGACAGGCATGGTGAGTTGTCGGCTGCGGTCACACTACACTCAATTAGGATTATTTTGCTATTCAGGTGGTGATCCTATCACCCTGGCTGCCTGTTCACATTACACAGTGCACACATTGCTTTGAACAAGAAATCAAGTAATTGTGAATACCTTATTGCAGCAGGTGGTTAACACATTGGGTGAATCCCAACATCCTCATCAGGCCCTATGCACTTAACCTGCAATGATTTTATTGGTTGAACTAGTGTGAATAAATACCTGATTGGCTAATTCATTCCAGTTAAGTATTTCACAGGGAAATAGGATTACTTTGCGTTCACACTGCCAGTACATTCCATTATGATAGGATGCAATTCCTAATTGCAGTGACGGTGTGAGCGCAGCCTAAAGGCCACAATTTTCATCGAAGTACTTTGCAGTTCAGCAGGTTTTATAGATGTACCTCTAATCGTTATAATATTGCAGATTTATTATTTCTCTTCTAATAAATCTGTTGAAAGTTTCATCACTTGATAACTTCTAAAACAGATTTTTTTTGTGGTGCAGATGCAGTGACTGAGACTGGGAGATGGGCCTTCCCATTGCCTTGGGATGGTAAGTATTGATCTTTTGGCAGTGGAGAAGACACTTATTAGCCTTATGAGATCCTAGGGACATTTTGTGCCATTCTGTTTTTTATTTTCAAGCCATTTTGGCTGTGTTAAATGAATATAGCTCAAATTTGCCAAAGGATATTCATTTTTGAAAAACTTTAAGAAATATCTGAATTCCTAAATTAGCCTAAAATGGCTGAGCTACAAACAAACTGACGTATTAGTGCCTAGAGACAGAAACCGTCCCATTGAAAACCATTAAAAATGCTATTTTTGACCCCACATTATTCCTTACATAAACTAATACATTGCTTTATGTTAAGGTTTCATTTTGGACTACTGGCCTTTAACTTATAATTTTTATGTTTGCCCACTAGGTGGCACCATTGTTTCATATTTTAAAGCACACCGCAAAATTTCATCTTTTTCACTGTGTTCTACAGGCCCCTGGCTACAGAAATCACAAGTGTGTGTCGCTATTGATGTTGGATAATTGTGTTTGTGTGTGTGTGTGTTATGATTACAGGCTATTGAACCCAGTTACACCTTGTAAATGACCGCAAAAAGGCATTGATTTGTGCTATTCTGTTAGTAGATTGTTTAAACAAACACACATTACGCAGTATGATCAGCAGTTAAAAATATAATAGCCGTTCTCACTCAAGCAGCTGAGTGTGTGGGAGCCCGGCGGAGGTTCGCAAGCTTGGCTAGAGGGTGCTAGAAGTGTGCGCAGCCCAGTTCTGTGCTCTGGCCCGTCAGGAGAACCACGAACTGACCAAACTGCTACAGAACTATTGGCGCTGCCACAGACAGCTGACCCAGTCACACACGCAGCTACATACACAGTCCTCTGACTGCAAGAGAACTCAGAATCGTCTATGGAGCTTCAGAGATGAACAGCAGAAACAGCCAATGTGTGTGTGTGTTGAGTTCAGGTGTTGTCACGTAAATAACAGTCCCCAAGCAATAAAGAGGACAGACAATAGTTTTTTATTATTTTTACACTACATTTTCACTGAAAGCTGACCGAATCCGACCTCGGATCGGGTAGCCACACTCTAATGCCTATGCTGTGTCTCCCACAGAGATTTTCTTTATGGCTAAAATATGCTGCAGAATTTTACGGGACACGTAACGTCGGGAGTGTGTACAAGTCCCCGGAATAAACCTCTGTAGCTGTAGTGCAGCATATTGTGGGAGACCAAAATATTGTTCCACTGTTTGAAGTCCATGCCGCCGCTTGTTTCTTTTCGGACCTGTGTGTTAATGACAAAAGAGTGAAAAAATCGAATTTCCCCTTGGGGGGATTAATAAAGTATATCGAATCGAATTTAATATGTTATTTTATTAAAGGACCTCCTAAAGTGGCCTTCACATAATAAGAACAACGTGCTTCGCTCACCGCCAGGTGCAGCGCAGCGGTGCGGTCAAAGTTCAAATAATTTCAACTCTGAGCGCAGTGCTCGGGCGGAAAATCCGAGCGGTGCGCAACGGCAAGGGTAGTGGTGCCGCTTTGTCAGGTGTTGCCGCCCTCTCCATAGAATGGGACAGCCAGCGCAAAGCAGTTTTACAGCTGATCATGTGTAGAGGTCTTAAGGATTAATAGCACCACCTTCTCTCTTCCTGCATTGTTCTCTCTGTCCACAGAAACTGCTTTTCAGTTATAGCCGTGGCTTGGTTTCCATGATGTCAGATGATGACTTTTTTTTGGACTTTCGGTTCTTTCTCCAACACTGCTGTACTAATAACAAACACTGGAGCTGATTACAAACACAACTGTGAGCTAGCTTACCTTGCTATTCTAATTGGAGCATTGTAATCATCAACAAATGTGTTTATTTATTTCAGTGTTCCAGAAAAAGGTCCTAAGCCTACTGGTCGACATCCGCCACCGCCTGAAGGAAACGCAGCCTGCCTCTTCAGCTGTCCATATAGAGAGGATTGACACCATGGAGGACTTTGAGTTACAGGAGCAACGCCTCTCTGATGCACAGGCTTTTGATACCCTTGTAGGTTTTACAAGTCTGGAAGTAATGGATAGCCTAGAATAAAATAATACAGTGCACTCGCACACTGCTAGATTCCTCTGGGGAGTGTCAGTCAACTTTATTATGGACTTATTCCAACAGGTGCTGCAAATTTCAAGAATCGGTGGGCGGAACACCAAGGACTGTGTCCACAAAGTGTTGGACAGGTATCTACAACATTTTCTGCATGTTCTCATTTGCCTTCTTTCTGAGCATGTCAGAATAGGTGAAAATTAAATGAAAATACAAGTTCACAACCAAATGCATTGTGAGATTATAGACTAGCTGTGCTTGACAAGGAGATAAGTAGAGGGATAAAGGAGGACCACCCTAGGGGACACTGATCAACTAGTATAAAGGGTTTATTGCATGTGTAATGTTATTCCTACATATATCCTTCACATTAATTTATTTTTCCTTAGGGTCTTCACCAACAGCCTCATGGCCAAATTTAATTTGAAGGGCAAGGGGAAAAGGGGGAAAAGGCCTTTAGAGGGAACGAAGGTTTATAGAGCAATACAAGGTAAGCCCAAGTTTCATGTTGACCAGTCTATAAATAATAACTTTGGACAAAACATTTCCTTCCCTTCTGACTTTTAAAAAAAGCAATGCCAATTCGCTTAGCAAAGTTAAAAGTAACAGATGGTAAATGAGTCACAATTCTCTCAAAATATTATTCTCCTCTCACAGCACAAAGGTGAGTCATTACAAACTGTTATACCAGTGGGTATGAATGACTTCCTGTGGCAGTCCTTATTACATTGAAGCTGAAGTAGCCTCCAACTGAAAACAGTCTGCTATCTGACAAGTAGTACATGTAGTGGATGTGTTGTATTATCCAGAATACTTAACTTATTTTTTTTTTTTTTTTATTTTTTTTTTTTTTTTTTGCAAAACTCTTCTCAGTAAGTAACTTAAATTTAATATTTAGATTTAGCATTTAAATTTAAGATTTAGATTTAGATTTAATATTTAGATTTAACATTTAGATTTAGATTTAGCATTTAGATTTAACATTTAGATTTAATATTTAGATTTAACATTTAACATTTAGGTGCCACATTTAATATTTAGATTTAACTATTTAATATATTTCTAAGTTAACAAATATTGCTGTAAATGTAGTAAAAGGTGACGTTAAAAAATTCACAACACTTTTTTAAACATTGTTTGAAGCTAAATGTGGCAAAATGTTGATGTTATTTTCAGCGTGAGCCACTTTACAAACAGCACCCCATAGTTACATTCTGCCCAATGAGCTTTTCAGCCATAGAGTATGCTCTGATAGCTTGTTCATGTTTGGTTACATAACGTACTGCGTATTTATATCTGGCACTAGTGAGTTTTTTGTGGTCCAGGATAGGTCCTTGTCTGGGCCGACCAGCGAGGTCCCACGCCTTAAAGGCCCTCTTGGCCTCCATATGGTGTGCTGCCACATGCTTACTCCACCCTGGTTTAACCCAATGTTTCTTAGAGAGTTAAGAAGGATCTACTGGCTTCATACAAAGCCCCCACAATACAATCATACATAGTACACAGGTCTTTGCCATGAGCAGTTATATTACAGTTAACATCAGAACACAAGATAGCATCATAAGGCAAATATACATGACTCAAATGGTCATCAGATCTCCCATAATATGCCACAACATCCTCATAAGAGAGTTTAGCCCAATCTACTTTCCCCATATATGTATTATAAACCTCATGAGACATCTCAGGGAGACTGTCAACATCTAGTGACAAGACAACAGGGACATGGTCTGATATGGATGCCTCATAGACAACTTCAATTGAAAGTAAAATATCATGTGCATCTGCAGTGCAGATGCAATGATCAAGCCAAGATGTTGTGTTCCAGGCTTCACTTAAATAAGCATAGCTATTTGCAGGTAAAAGCACCTGGCTAGATAATATGAGGTTATTGTCCTCATAAAAGTGTACCATATGCAAATGGCAACAAAAACATTTGGGCCCAGGCTGCACCAACCAGCCAGCGCGAGACCAGCAAAAGCAAGCACACACACATGAACGTGTTGCCCATGTCTCACGGCCTCGTGCAAGCGCGCACACGTGAACGTGGTGCCCAGAGAGGTAGTTAGAGCTACAGGCTACAATGAGACTAAAAGGTGAGCTAGCTCCATTGTGTTTGATAACATTGTTGAACGTAAACAGAAGTGAAGTGTTTTTGTTGCCATTTGCAGAGCCTGGGCTGCCTACAGAGACTGGACTTTTTCACAGCATATTCAGAGGACATGTAGCTAGCGGATCGTGAGGAGATGTTTGCTGTATGTGACAAAAACTTTTCAAGCTTAAGAAGACTTAGAGAGCCTTTAAGTGGTGCGGGGAATCAGGTCCCCCAGAAAAGTTAAGTCAAAGAAGACTTCAATAGGGGCGTCGGTGGCTTAGTGGTAGAGCAGGCGCCCCATGTACAAGGCTGTTGCCACAGTTGCCTGGGTTCAAATCCAGCCTGTGGCCCTCCGCTGCATGTCATCCCCCCCCCCCCCCCCCC